GGTAAATGTGACTCGTTTCTAGTGCAAGAAATTTTTTTCCTGCCGTCCAAATTATTCTCTTTAAGGCCGTCATTGCACTAGACCAATTCCTGATATAAGATTTTCAACTTAGAGAATTCGAATTAATACAAATCAAAAATTTATTTTGGATTTAAGAGCCCAAATTTCGATCGGAACAAAAAAAATTTAAGAGCCCAAATCCAAATCCACTCCCGCTCAAACGGGCCCTAACTCTTCGGAAGTTTTCGTCGTACAATTAAGCCCATTTTTCATCAAAATAAAGCCCAGAAAGGATGCAGCTCAAAAGCCAAGGGCCGAAAAGCATAAACGGACCCAACCCCCTCAAAATCAGAGATTATCAAGCGCAAGCAAGAGGAGAAGACGAACCCTCACTCTCACAAAATCAGACTCAGCTGCAACAAAGAAACCGATCGAAACACAAACGAAGCAAATCTAAAGCAGGAGGCAATGGCAGACAACAAAGAATTCTTCCCACCCCAGTACGACGTGAACGCCAAATGGGACGCGTGTCTCGATCTGACGGTCCGGCGCTTCGTCTACTCTTCCTTGGGCGGTGCCTTTGGTGGTCTCCTTTTATTCAGTCAGTTCTTCCTTTTCCCTTTACTTCTCTGTTTAATTCCTCATTACCCCGTTTGTCTTCTTTGCTATCACCTCATGAGATTTTGTTTTTATATCAGAAATTTCATCAATGGTGTTTATGTCCTAGAGGGTGAGCTAATAAGTTTAATTTCCTTTTCACTCTAGGGTTAGATTGTTATAAATACACCCCATGTACTTTCCAGAGATTGGAGAATTCTTGGCGCCAAACCCCTTGGCTTACATCCTTATCATATATTTTCTGTTTTTTTCATTGTTTTAGCTTCCGCTAAATTACCTAAACACTCAATTCACCCATATCCTACATCAAATTTGGCATCATAGCAAGTTTTCGTTTTTCCTTGAGCCCGAAATCTTCAACTCTCTTTGTCTGCACGCCGTGTGTCAATTGTATGGCTCCAACTAAGCCTGGCAAGACAGACTAAACAGAGATGGACAACAAATGGATTGTTCAAGTTCTGGAAACTCTCACAACACAAGTGTCAGAGCTGACCACCCTCGTTCACCATCCCAAATTACCCTTTTCTAGGATTTCTTAATTCAGGTTGAGAATGGAGTGGGTTGAGCTGCTTACATCATTGCAAAATGATTTCCTTTTACACAATTTCTAAAAACGAAGCATACCGTGTAAAGTAATATTTAGGGATTTCTAATGGAAGTGAGTGGGATCCATGCCTAATATGTAGAAGAATATGGTAGATACAACTAATTAATTTGGTAGAATTCACAACCTACGTTATGTTGGCCCTCAGTTCACCTGCCGTATTCCTGCGACAGGACGTGCCAATCGTAAAAGTTATGACCACTAGGCACTCTGGATTCATGGAAATGTTATAAAATCAAACTAATCCAACATATGGACATGTACCTGCATCTAATATTCTTACCAGAGGCCATGTATCATAGTTCTTAAGCCATAAAAATCAGGAGTAACCATATTTTTACAGTTCTTTTTCCCCCTTTTCCCTTTGGCAGATTATTGAATTCATTGAATGCTCTACCTAATTATCATGAGCTTGAGACCAATTTTGTTTTTTTCATTTTATTGAACCGAGTATATGCTTTAACTCTCCCAAAATTAGCAATCTTGAATTAATCAATGTACTTTTGATGTGTCTTACTAGGGAGTCCTGTGAGTCGCTGGGCTTCTGTAGCTTTTGGCGCTGGATTGGGCATTGGATCCGCATACACAGAGTGCTCTCGTTTATTTGAGGGATCTCCAGCGAAGTTGGCTGCTCCTAAGATTATTGAGACTCCTGCTCCTCAGGTACTGATTTCTTCCAAGTAAACTCAAATAATTGAGGAAAAATTTGAGTTACACTGCTTGAGGTTTGGACTTATTCCACTTGGACCCAACAACTTTGATTTATTCCACCTACACCCCTTAATTTTAAGGGAAGAAACTCAAATTGACAATCAAAGGGCAAGACTGTCATTTCATACTAAACTAAACAATAAAAAAGCATCTCTCCTCCCTAACCCATAAGAAAAGAAAAAGAAAAAAGAAAAAAGAAAACACACGATTGAAGGAGGGTGTGTCCATCTCCTTACTAAGCCTCTTCTCATCCGACCCCTCACTCTTGGAGATGTTTTATCAATTATCTTTTACTTCCCAAGTCATGGTCACGAGCTTCCTCGTAGGCTGAGGTGCTTGCTTGTGTGGACGCATAGTTTACGGACTCGATGGCCTTAGTTCAGATGTAGGACACCTCTTGCTTATAAGCTTCCACGTGGGTTGCTGAGAAAACCCCCTTTCTACCTCATTCAATTGGTTTCCCTTGAGAAAAGTGAACATGCTACATTGAATTTTGAAATCATTCCCTTTGTTTTTTTACAAACCCAACTGAATTAAACATTTGACCAAAGCATCAAAAACTTCTTCAAAGAACAAAACTAGAACTCAAACCCTACAGTTGATTTCAATTTTCTTCTTTTTTGTGTTGAAAAAATAGCACAACTCAAGCTCTGATAACCTTGTAATTTGAAGGTATGCATTTTATTTTCTGATGTATTATGAACGTTTCATCTCTTGGTTGTCATTCATTTGACATTTATTTTGGCATTTGATTTATGATCTGAGTTTATGGTTTATGAAATTTTATGGGTTTAGGAATATGTTGCAATGGAATGATGAATCTATTTCTTCGCCTCTTTGTCAATAAAAAAAAATCAGAATTATCATGGAGAATAGCAGGAAATATGAGATTACAATGACCCGTATATATGATTCTATTTAATTATGAATAATCAGGACTTGTACTTTCTTTTTTACCAGGGGTTTTTTGGGTTTTACTGAAGTTTCTTAGAACTTTTGTTTGGCTATCGAGTTAAGGCACTAGGCCTCCATCTTCAAGTTTGTTTTCACAAGAATCTGAAGTGTCTTGGTTGCTTAAACTAACATTTTTGTCAATTGGGAATTTCCCTTTCTTTCCATTTCTCACAGCTTAATACACACACACACACATAAATATGTATGTATATTCTCAGTATCTCTTTGAGTACATGCAATGTTTTTGTGTTTACATATCTTCGTGGAAATGAGTTTCTCACGGTAACAAAAAGTCAACTTAATATGTTCACAAGAATCTTTATTTTTATTTCTTTTCAATGAAGGCCAATCAAGTCATTTTGGTGTGTGATTGCTGCATATTGATTTATACATCATTTGAAACTCTTGTAAATATTCAGGCTTTTTCTGCCTGAGAATAAATATAAGTCCATTATTGTTTTGCAGTAATATAATAATAAGATGAATTGTGCAGGGAAGTTATTTGATGTAGTTTTTCCTCTTGTTTCCAGGACGGACAAGATTGAATTTATGCAAGTCAAGATAACCCACAGTTTTGGGATTCAACTCCGGGGTTTTTGTAGACTGTTTATGCCTGCAATGGCTTTGATTAAGTAGTACAAATACTGTTTTTGATTGATAAAGATATCACCTGATCTACTTCAGACTTCATACAAATTTGTTACCTTTTGCTTTGTAACCCTGTCATTATGTCGAACTTTGTATGTGGAAAAAGGAAGAAATAATTGCATTTGGGGGAAGCTTTCTTACTTCTGCAACTTCCTAGGAAGAAGTTTGTGAGTAAGCAAAAGGAAATTTTGTCAGAAATATCTTTGACGAGCAAAGTCGCTTGCTATCTTGTTTATGTGCCGTTTGATTTAAATTATTTCTCTATGATATAGTGATAATATTTCAGTAAAAGTGGTTCTGCTGGGCAATGCTGAACAAACATGTAGTTATTTGTTGTGCTGCATTGTTCTACTTTTATAAGAAAACATGGATGCTTATGTAAATATCAAGGATTTCAGAAAATCGAAATACCACTAAAACGCTATTTCTATCACAAGTCCAGAATCAATGTACTTTGGTTTTTTCTTCTCTCTGGTCCATATGGCCTCTAACACGACCTGGCCATCCATGACCATTTCATATTCTGCTATGTTATTATTCACCATCAGTGGCCGTAGCATCATCGACAACGAAGAATATAATAAGGTTAGAAAGTGGGAATGTCATCTTGGTTGATGACCAAAATGTCTTTTGATTGTCCAACTTGAAAGATGAACAAAATGTCTTTTTTGATTGTCCAACAGATACTCAGGTCATAGTCCTATATTATTTAGTGCTAATATCTAGAAAATGCTTCTATATATGCATGGCAATTTCACCATGTTATGCACCAAGTTCAAAGATTGCCTTTAATTCTGTTCTTGTGATTAATTCCAAGTTCTACAGCCATGGTTTTCGCACGCACTAGGTTCCTGTCATGTTGAACTATTCTGCAGTAGTCTCTACATAAAATGATCTTTATAACTTATTCTATATGACTCTACCTTTTCATAAATTCCCTTTGTGTTATGAACTTTTTGTTACAGGGGAGAGAGCAGTGAGCAACTTGGCTAGGTTTGTATAATGCCAGTTTAACATCAAGTAAACTCTTTTGTTTATGAGATCTTGAAACAAGTAAGAATTCAGGAGGAAAAACTCAGGGCTCCTAATTCCATGCAAGACTTGAACCAACTTTTTTCAGACGGGAATGAAAATCATGGTATTTCTGCTGCTTTTGGTGAAACTCAATTATGAAACTTTTTCTAGCCAATTATTGCTCAAATTATACCATGGTTGAGCCAACAGCTTAATTATAGGGCAACTTCGTTTTTATTTTTTGTCGTTTCTTATGAAAGAAAATAAATAACTTGGGTTTTGAGAAAAAATAAAATAAAATTTAATACGTTTTTTTTTGGGGGGTTTTCTTGAGCAAAAACTAAACTTTCTTTAGTTCAGAAGGAAAAAACAAGCTGTGCCCGAAGAAGTCGAATAGAAACGCATGGTATTTTTTCTTTAAAGAAAATAATAACTCAAGCAAGCATCCAGATATCAATAATAACTCTAATTTTGCTTCAATAAAATACTGTATTCCCTCATTTACAATGAAAAACTAAATTATACATCTATACAGTTTACGAAAAGAACCGTAAAGAAAATTATGGTGTTAGTACTTAGTACAACAACTAGCTAGTAGGTAGTAACAGATAGGCAAAAGGTGGAAAAAGGTGACCACAAAGGCTCCAAGTGGCACACTGTATTACACAACAGATCTTATCTGCAGATCATGCGGTTGAGCGGTTGAATATTTCCGTTGATCAGCTTCAAGGATATGCTCAGTGATCGTCCTTTGTATGACAGCGTCTGGCATGATGCCACTAATTAACATACGGCCATACAAAATGAGGGCTTCTGCCATTCTTCCTACCTTGCAGTAACCACGAATCAGAATCCCATATGCTATTACATCAGGCACCAAACCCCTTTCTATAGCACAATGAAACGCAAGGGATGCTTTCTCCGTTAGTCCTCTCTTGCAAAGACCATCCATGAGGATGCTATAACTGACTATATTGGGAGAGATGTTTTTAAGCATCTCTTCGTGCAGTTCAAATGCACTTTTCATGTTTTCAGATTTAAAATAACCATCAATAAGACAACTATATGTGACCAAATTGGGTTCAGGATCCTTTTCCAGCATTTTATCAAACATCAACATGGCATCATCCATGTTACCTTCTTTGCAAAAAGCATCAATCAGTATAGTACAAGTAATGGCATTGGGTTTACAGTGTCCCTGTATCAGCTTTTGAAAAAGTTGAACAGCTGCATCTAACCTTCTCAGAGAGCAATAACCACAAATCATTGTGTTGTACGTAACAATGTCAGGTTCTGGCCCACTTTTAGTAAGTTGCTCAAAGAGTTCTTGTGCAGCTTCTAAATAACTTTCTTTGAAAAGCATATTAATGAGAACATTATAAATGGCAATATCAGGACTTACTCCATTTCTTCGCATCATATCTAGAATCCGGAGTCCATAATATACACGTTTCTGCTTGCAGCAACCATCGATTAGTGTGCAATACGTTACAACATCAGGCAAGAACCCCTTCTTTAATGATTGGAAGAAAAATACTAACGCATCTTTTAATCTCCCCACTTCAGAGATACCCTTAATAATCACAGTATACGTCACCATATCAGGTTTTATGTTATAAACTCCCATTTGGATGAACACCTTCACAGCATCACTTAGTCTTTTTAATCTACAGAAACCATCTATTAACATATTAAAAGTATAGATATTGGGCTTTACACCCCTATAAACAGCCTGAAAGAAGAACCTAAGAGCATCACCCATCAGCCCATGTTTGCAAAGGCCATTTACTAGCACACCATAAAGAATAATATCAGGTTCATAGCCAGTCTTGATCATACTCTCATACAGGTGAAATGCATCCTTTAAATTCCCCAATTTGCACATTCCATCAATCAAACTACTGTAAGTTAGAACGGATGGCACAAAACCACACTTCACAATCTGACCGAATATGCCACAAGCCTCCATGACCTTACCATCCTGACACATACCATTTATAAGAATGGTGTAACTAACAGGGTTTGGCGAGATCCCTTCTTTCAGCATTCTTCTGTAGATCTCCACCGACTTCACCAAGTCTCCAATTCTCACATAGGAATCCATAACAGAACTGAAAATGACTACATCCAACTTAATGCCGCTATCTAATGCCTCTGAAAAAAGTCGAAGCCCCTCCTCCAATTTCCCTGCCTTAAAAAGACCATCAACTAGAATACTATATACAACCAAGTCAGGGCTGACACCTTTCTCTATCATAACCTTATAAAGCTTAATGGCCTCCTCCAATTTCCCATCCTTACAATACGCATTAATCATCGTGCTGAATGTCACCACATTTGGCTCTGGACCACCCATTATCAATACATTAAAGAAATCTTCCCCAACTCCAATCTGACTTTCTTTACAAAGACGCTTTAAAATCTTGTTACAAGCAACAATATCAACCACAAAGCCTCTTTCAATCACTGCGGAATGAAAATCCAAACCCGTTTCAACTTTACTCTTGTTTAGAAGAGCAACCATAACAAACTCATACACACAGAAATACTGTCCTCTCAATGCTTTACACACTTCTCCATATAAATCAAGAATCACATGGACACGATTTGAATCAACCAAAAAAGTCAACATTCTGGATAACACATAAGGAGACACCGGAACTCCCAATTTACACATATGAATGAATGTCTCAATGGACGAATCTAGCATCCCATTCCGACAAAAGTTCTCAATCAGAAAGCTATAAAGATCACTAGAATCCGAAGCATAATTGGGAGAAATCTCAGAAAAAGCAGCAAAAAAGTGAAAATGAGTCCCAAATTGGCGTACCATTGTATTGAAAAGGTGTGAAGCCGGAGCGAGCTTTCGGTGACGGAGCAGCAGATGAATAAGGGCACAAAAGGACTGCGGGTAGTGGTGTAAGCCGAGAGAGTTGCGGGACCAATCAAGGAAGCGAAGGGTGGAAATGGGGTTGGATTGGAGGCTGAGAGGGATGTGGTGGACATGGTTGGGCTGTAATTTGGAAACAAAATGGGAGTTCAAGAGTTTGGGTTTAAATTGGAGACGTGTGTTTGAGATGTGGTGAATAAGAGCTTTGCAAGAGAATGGAGAATAAGGCGAATAGAAATTAAGAGAGCAGCATTTGAAGAATAATACATTTGAGAATGAAGAGGAAGAGGAAGATATCATGCTTTTTCAAGCTTCGACATGCTTTATTTGCTCATGAGCCAACTACTCTTCTTCACTAGTACATATTAACAAACCCAATACCAAAACAAAGCATGAATCAGCACACCACAAAAGTGACAAATTAAATCAAACAGGGTCATATTAACAAACTATCTAAAATCTAGAACCCTAAAACAAAGCACAACAAATAGGGGTTCTTGTGACTTCTCTAAATGAAATGAAACTGCAGAGACTATTCATGGGTATCTTCAATAGAAAGAAGACTTGAATGCAATAGAAACAAAATTGAACAGTGCACCAAGAAGAAAAACGAAAAAGAGTTCAAAAGAAATATTTGTGGTGTTGCAGTTTTATGCTTCTAGCATTGATACATCCTTATTTATGGTGTTGAGAGGAATATTTGTAGTGCTCTTGTATAAATAAAAAAGAGTATATGAAACTTTAATCTTTCATGACTGATCAAAACAAATATTTTGCTTATAATCACAGAAGAAACAATTACCAAAACAAAGCACTTAGCAAACCACAAAAGTGAAAACTTAAATCAAACAGGGGTCTTTAGCAAACAAACAAAAACAAACAGGGTCATGTTAGCAAACTATCTAAAAGCCAGAACCCTAAATGAGACCACGGAAAATGGGGGTTCTAGTGACTTCTGTAAATCAAATGAAATTACAGATGACCATTCGTGGGTATCTTCTATAGAAAGAGGACTAAATGCAATAAAAAGCAAATTGAACAGTGCACCAAATAGAGAAAAGAAACAGAGCTAAAAAAAAAAACCCCCAAAAATGAGAATCATAGCAGTTTTATTCTTCTAGCGTTGATACATCCTGAGCTATGGTGTTGGTTCATTATGAGAGGAATATAACGATCCTTTAGTGCAACCAGAAAAGAACATATCAAAAGAATATTCTTTCATTACAACTTGTCAATGGAAAGATTTCAACTTCTCTTTTGTTAGAAACGATCAGTAATTAGTTTTAATTTTTATTTTCTCTCATACTTTCATACCAAAAACCCTAAAATAAAAACTAAACAGAGTTTTACCATATGAAAATAATTGAAGAGGCTATAAGATTGAAACCAAAACAAAAATGGAAGGCTTATGACAAATTGAATAACAGGAGACAGAGATATATTACCTGTAATTGGGCAAACCCTAACCGCTCACCCCCAACCCTGCATTTACTAAAATAAAAGCATAAATTAAACTCCAGAAAGTACAAATTTCACAAATGGTAGCAAATAGCCACACCTGTAAACTGCGAGTGAAGAACCCACCCACTCAAGTCCGATAGTGAACTTTCAGCAATATTTGCCAGTCCCACCCACTCTACTCTTCAAGCTTCAGATATTTCTGTTCTCCTCCTCCTTCCTCGAAACGGCGTCGGTTTCGTAAAAATTTGTGCACCTATTTTTTTGGGAAAAAATAAATAAATAAAAAAGAAAACGATTAACGGTATAGCCGTTCGGCTATAATCCAAAATAGAATATTTTAAACGTATAGCCGACCGGCGATATTAAAAAATAGAAACTTTAACGGTATAGCCGCTCGGCTATAAATTTAGTATATTCTATTTTGGGTATAGCCGGCTATAATCGATGAATAGCCGCGCGGCTATACCCAAACGCCGCACGACGATGCCCAGAAATAGAATATCTTAAAGGTCTATAGTCCAAAAAAGAATATTTTAATGGTATCGCCGTGCGGCTATACTCTAAAAGTAAAATATTTTACAAGTAGAGCCGTTCGGCTGCACTCCAAAATAGAATATTTTAACAGTATAGCCGTGCTGCGGCACTCCAAAATAGAATAACAGTATAGCCGTGCGGCTGTACACCAAAATATATTTTAAAAAGTATAGCAACCCGGCTATACGTGATGATTTAAATTTTTTTATTAAAGCTAAAAAGAAATATAATTCATGAAGTTAATTAAAATATAATTACAAACTATCATCTTATGATCAACTAGACAGATAAATTATCCAAACCCAAAGAAGCATATTTGAATCGGAGTCTCCAGTAACGTGCTGAGGTGGCTTTACCACCAATGTCAATTGGCATCTTAGGACCAAATATGGAACTACACATAGCATGTATTACAACTGATGGCCTTCGATCACCACCAGCAGTAGCTGTAACCCCTTCACCTCTATGATCAATATATACATGAGTTTTCTGGAGTCTAACAGGTATTTGCAACCAAGCCATCATTCAGCCAATTTTTCATCATCATGAAAGCCTGCTCTGCATCTTCGTCTTCTTCAAATGATTGAGGTCGGTGAGCAAAGCCATGACCTCTACCCTTGAAAACTACCACCCTGGACCCCCTGCCAATGCTTCTCTCAATACTCTCTAGGACGTTGACAGGACAGAGTGGGTCGTTGTCCCCGGAAATAAACAAGATTGGAACCTTAACATTAGATGCCACAGACGTATCGATCCTTGTTCCATAAAAGGAGACCCCAGTGCCAAAAGAAGCGCCCTGGTCCTGGGCTAGGACTTCAATCACTTTGCCACCTCCAAAGCAGAATCCTATCAAGCCAAACTTCTTTGAGATTCCTGCAGCCAAAAATTCATCAACCATCCATTTTGCAGATGTGGCAATGTCTTTTGCAATCCTCTGAGGTTCTTGTTCCGAGATCCACTTATCAAAAAGATTCTTTGGTCGATCCTTTGTCCATGGATCTCCACGAAATAGGTCTGGAAGCAAAACACTGCATTTTTTTTCAAGGACAAAGTAAGCATATAGAATTGAGATATCTTGAAGAATGATTGCCCTAAAGGACTACTAATGGCAACTCTAACAAGAACACCAGCATTGCCATCCGAGTTAAAAGCAGTGCATAAATTGTAAACTGGTCAGTACATAATGAAATTTGAACAGCATGCGTGCCCTTGCAGCATCACACAAACTTACATATAAATACTCCTTAATTTTAGTTCAAGGTTAAGCAACATACTTGTAACCATTGCACGCAACACGATAGGCAAACTCTCTTGTGGATGAATCTTCAAATCCAAAGATATCGGACAAGAGAAGTATCCCAGTTCCATTATTATTTTTCACTGCCTTGAAGAGATAAGCATTGATGCTATCAACACCCTCACCAACTGTAAGTTCCACTCCACTGACTAACTCACATGACTCGTCATTTGAGTCGTCTTCCACTTTTAGTAGGCTACAAGTAATTTTTCTGCCTATATTCTCTGTAGATGACCTCTGACAACTTGAATTGCATGCTCTCTGAACACAAACTGAGTTTTACAGTCAAGGTAGTACTTCATTATAGAACACAGCAAATAAAATGTTCAAAGTTAATGAATAAGAACAGTTCAACGTTCATCACAAGTTATCAGTATGATCAATTCAATGATTAAATATTTAAATAGATTTACAAGATATGAATGATGCTAAAACAGAGCTATCATCTTCTAATGTAGTGTGATTTCTCTATGTACAGCAAAGGATTGGCACGAAAATGAAGAGGGAATTAAGAGTGTTGACAGTGCTCAAAGTAAAAGTTAACAAGTAAAAAATAATAAAATAGTTGGTAAAACATGTCAAATTAAACATTGAGCTTCTTTATCTAAGAATCATTAAAATAATAAAAGGCTTTGTTATCTGCTAATAGAATAATAAAAAGAAGGCAAGGAAGAGGAAACACTTCAATAAAGGCAATGTAGAAGTGAAGATGCACATACAAAAACTGCACATATATAGATCATGTTCCACACATGTTTTTCAACTTTTCTCAGTAAAACGAAGAAATCTACACAAACGATGTCAGTTGCAACTTCTGTGGATGCCAAAAATGGGTTTCGCAAGAGAGCCAGCACCTTATAATGAAGCTTAAATAAATCAATGAAATCTGAAGCATTATCTACCTATGCATACTGTGCTAAGCAAGCTCATAAACCGAGCCAGTCACGAGTTTATATTCTGTTTCAACTTGACCAAACCCATGAATCTGTCTCACTTTGAGTTTAGGCCTACTGCCTCAGATCAAATTAAAGATTGCTAAATTGGCAATGTCAAGTTTACTAAATGCTAGAAACTTTGACACAACTAATGGCACTTAAGCCTATTTAGATTCTTTGTCAGTCTAGTTTCTGCTTGAACATAAATAAATAACTACACCATTTCCTTTCTTCAACATAATAAGCATTTCAGAATTGAACCCAGAACCACAAATCATAAAGGGGGTCTATCTGATGCCAAATTCAGCAAAGAAGCCTAAGCCATTAAGCTTAACAAATAAAAGAAAAAGAAAAGAAAAGAATAAAGGTATATATAAAACCGAAAAGATGGAGAAAAAATAACGTACTGATCCTGAAGAGGTGTGCAGAAGAGGAGAAGCAAAAGTTGAGAGGAAACCAAGTTGGTGATGGCGAGGGGTTGGCTTTCGAAGCAAGAGGTGACGAGGCGTGGTGCTCATGGAAGCGGAAGAGAGTGGGTTTCCCGCTCCACTTCCAGTTGAGTATAATCCCATCTTTCTGCTTCTAGACAAACGCGCTCTCCTCCTCCTTAACCACTTTGTTGCTAGATATCATATCTTTCTTTCTTTCTTCAAACCAACGCCCGCCTCAAATTTTTTTTCCTTTTTTCTTTTGGTTTTAAATTTCTTCTAGTAAGCATTTATATACATATTTTCGAGCAAGTGTCATGGCCGTTTATTCTGTTACCTTGTCCCCTTTGTCCCATATCTAATATTTTGACATGTGTCCTTATATTAATACCGTTAACTTAATAAAATTCATCCACTCATTCTGCCACTTTTATTTATTTATTTATTTATAAACAATTATTATGTGCGTGACAGTAATAGTATACATCAATTAATGGAGTTATTAACAACACATCAATATATATAAAGCAAAAGGCAGAGAATGGTGAAACACTCAAAATACCAGAAAATACCCTTGATTAATTCAAATATTAAGAATTGAAATTATTAATTAAATAAAAATAATATGGTAAATTTACATTTTGTTCATATTAAAAAAATCAGATAATAAACCCTACTTTTATGGAACATAACTACCCTTGCTATCTTTTCTTAATTTTAAAAATAAAACAAAAAAGAAAAACGAAAACTAATTGTCACATGCGTGAGCATGTGCTAAGGGGCTAGTAAAGAACTAAGAAATATCCAAATGACCTGTTTGCCTTACATAATTATGTCCAAGGATGTTAGCCTTACGCATAATCACATCTAAGGCCTTGATGGATATATAACCCCTCAACCCCCTCAGCTCCGATTTATTCAGCTATCCTCCTAATCAAATGATACAACATAATCTCAGCCAAGTAAGTTGGCTGCCCAAACCAACGGAGCTTCGTGATTTCGGGCCTCTATTGTGAGATGCCGGAAGGCCGAATACAAAATCCCACAACTTACTGCATCTCTACTGATTGTATAGCCAGCTTGGCTGCAACCCTGGAGATATTATCTTTAACAAATTCTAGGGAATTGTCTAGCCTCTGGAAGGAGTCTCTGAGATCCATTGCCCTTAACTTCTCTTGCTGCAGCTTCAGAAGTTCCGATTCAGTTGATCCTGATAGATAATAAAAAAAGAAAAATTCATATGAACACTTGCAAAGGAAATGTATATCAGGTATGATGCTTCATAGGTTCAACTTCTATATCAAATAGTCATGAGTGGTAACCTACTAAAAGCCTTCCTACTTTTCATTGTACATGAAATAGTTGTTAAAGTGGTAGCGTACTCAACTAGTCATCAGGACGAGGATATGAAAGTCGTCAAAGAGGACTAGCAACGCGTAGAATGAATTTTCGACATACAGTACAATGAAAACTCTACAGTTATAATGGTGTTAATGATCAGTCTGAAAAACAAACAAATAGGCGTTGGCCATTTAAACTTATGATGCTTTGCAATTAAAGGTGTTTATATTTTTATTTTTAAAGTAATGCTTAAAATTAAACTTTTTATCTTAGCTATTACGAGTAAAACATATGTGAAAATATGAGGGGGAGCAAAGGGGGCTCAAATTGCAAATGAAATGCTAGGAATGGTAAAAGCCATGGGAGCCCCTCTGGACCTTCTGCAGTGTCAAAAGAGAACATTTATCGCATAGTTCTACGTACTCTGGTGCCTTCTCCAACATGTTTTCTGGTGGACTATGCAAGTCATTGAACAGGAACCACTGCAATCGTAGTTGAAGAATTGCAAATAGTTTTCTGCCCAGACAAGCCAGAAAATAGCAAAGCGCATTCCTAAAAGGTTTGTCTTCCAAGAAAAAGCGAGAAGCTTAGACAGAGTATTGGCAAAGTAGATGTAATAAGGACATCCCTTGTAAGAACTTTGGCCTAATGTGCATGAGGGAGATCTTCAAGGCCTCAGGCATGTCACAAGTTTAAGAGAGGAACTTGTTCGTTGGGTCATAAACACATTACTATGTCCTTGACAATAACAAAGTTTGGCACTCACACATAAAATCGAAACCTTGAAAAATTCTATTCTCAAATTTTATGACAAGGTCATAATAATTAATAAACATCCAGATATTTAAGCAAGTAATTTTTCCATTAGGGCCTAAATTGCACAAAAACATGCAGTCCTGGTTCTCGCAAATATACAGAAAGAAAACTTACAGCTACACCAGTCATGGAAAATTAACTGAGACTTCATGTGTTATCAATTAATATAAAGAATGAAAAACTATTTTGCTTACTACAGCGTCAAAGAAGAGAAATTTAGGTCAAGAAACATATCAACCTGAAATGGGTTGGAGTTATTGACTCAGGCAGTACAATTGAGGAACTAAAACTGCATATTCTGTAACAACTAACAAGAAATAGAGATGCAGAAGGGACATTTACCTGAGACCGGTTGAAGTGATGCGAAGGATACACGCTCAGCCAATGAAGGAAAGAAAGCTTCATTACAATCTAAGAGTAGTTCCTTTTCAGTCCACATTAGAGAATTGGCAATTCTAGTTTGCAACTGTGCCTCCTTTGGGGCCTAGTAGGACAGATAAACGAGCAGAAAAGAGTCAACAATTGCATGGGTATACAGTCCCAATCCAATAAACACTTATGTTGAGAAAACACATCTCAATCGTCCATGGACCATATCTAATCTAATGGCTGTAAAATGTATTTTTAGGTTGGAACCTTATTAGACAGGCTAAATATATGAGAACATAAAAGTTAAAAAGAAAAAGAAAAAAGAGCAATTCAACAAGCCCTGAACATAGATAACAGGGTTTGCTGAGAGAGAGAGAGAGAGAGCAACACACCTTGAGTTTGATTTCCAAACTATTTAAACTATAAAGAGCCTCTTTTACTTGCATAACTTTTGGGTGTAATTTGCTGACACTGTCAGGAGCCCTGTCCTGTACAGGTATGACAACACCTTTCAAGTAAGGATCAGCCTGCATGTCAAACCAACATTTTAGGAGGCATAAGAGTTAAAGCTACTTCTAAAAACAGTTTGTTCATGCCCAAAAGTAGTCCTTTAAACTCAATTATCATTCCCAAGACAAAGGACTAACTTCACATACGCAACTTCGTTCAGTTTCAATGTCACATCAAAAGCTCCTAATATCCTCCTCCAGGAAGCAAACTAAATATCACACATAAAAGAGTAATGCACGTGAAGTTGAAGAACCTAATGTACATATACATTGATCACAGAAGTAACATGTGTTTTTGTAGAGTATGGACTCATAGAGCCCTTGCTATATGTTGAAATTTAAAAGCAATGGCAGCAGCAGTTTGAATTATCTTGGAAAGCAGCTGGGAATCACTTATCAAGCCTGCATTCTGTCTATTTATACAAACCCAAATAACTTTTTAGCCTATTTGTGTGAATGCGAATGTATGCATTTCTATATTTATGCGAATGTGAAGAATTATCTTCTAATTAGGTCCTTAAACTAAGACTTGAACTTTCAACTGTAAGATGAGATATGAATGGTTCACATGCATTGTGTCCTTGAGATGTGTCTTATCCATCCCTATGTCCACTAACGAATGAGAAACAGGTCCTCATTTAAAGATCTTCTCAGAGAATAAATAACTACACATATCTATCTTTATCAGAATATGATAAGTTGAAGACCAAATCTCTTGTTACCTGCACAAATTTCACAATCTTTACACGACCAATTCCTCTAATAGAGACTAATGCTCCAACTTCTAAACGCTCAACCTGCAGAATACTGGAATGATTTTAGTACATAAGGTCCTTCACATATTTGGAAATTCAGTCAAAGTTGGGAAGCTTACATTTTCTATAAAAACCAAACAACCATTTCTGGCTGCAAAGGATGCTTCTTCTGTTGAATTTTCAATAATGATAGGATCCAACACAAAATGCACAAAAAGCTTGTTCTTCCTCATCAATGACTGCAACGAATAGATAAAAAAAACTCAACACTCTAATTTATTCCGTCATCTGAGCAGAGAAAATGGTGCAAGACAAATGATGTTCAAAAATCTTTATATAAAAAAAGAGTAAGAATAATGCAGTTAATATAAACTATACAGTACCTCCTCCAGTAGACCCAGATACCTTGCTTCATATAAGTGCAGTGTTTTACTCTCAGAGGGAACAAGAACCTGAAATTTCAAAAGAAAGAGGATGAAACTTGAAACACACATACCCTCAATTAGAAGAAATTGTGTCAAAAATAAAAACAACAAAAACATCTGTTTCCTCCTGTATTATAAAATTGATCATTTAACCAACCCACCATACAAAAATTATCATCTTATTTGTGAACAAACAGCAAAAACAAAAGACATGGTCCCAATGCATCAATTTTTTGCTATCCTTGACATATGTTTGTTACTAAGAAAATATCTAATGTCGAAAACAGAAAATAAAAATCTTGGAACCCTTTTTAATTAAATTAATCTGATTTTTTAAGCTCAAAAAACAGAAACAACTGGTTTCGTAATGAGAGTGAGTCAGCTAGAAAACTACAGAGAGCTCGAGACAAAACAGAGCTTAATTAATTAAGTCTAAAAATACTTGAGCAAAATCAACCTCGTTCAAGCTAAAGGGAAGGAGCGGGAGCTCCAACTCCAAGGAGGTGGCCATTGCAACCATGCGGCATCGTTTCAGTCTTTTCCTGGTAAATCCGAAATCATGGGTCCGGGTCCTTGCTATAAGGCGGGAATTTTTCTCTGGGAAAAAGGGACTACTGGGCGTGAGATTGAAGGCCGTACAATTCATGGAAATTTTCTTCTTCTTCGGTTCCACTTCCAACCAACCACGGTCTGACGGGTTATCTTAATTCTGAGTCTCTGACCGCACGATGGGGAGCAGAAAACCTCCACTAAACGGGTACCGGGGTACGTCATGTGACGGTATATGAAGATATCAGTACCGCGAGATGGGAAAATTAAAGGGCCAGCGTACACGAAAAAATGACAAAGAAACAAACTTCTCGTGCCTAATTAACTTGAGTGAGATAACGGACGCCCTGTTTACAAAGTCTGCATTGAAAAATTCATAACTACCTGCCCTTTGGCTCACGCACGGCTAATTGGTTTTATTTTTTATTTTTTATTTTATTTTTAAAGTTAAGAAAAAATAATATAAGTAGGTAGGACTTATTATTTAATT